AATCAGCTCCGAGCCAACCCAAACCGACTCAAAGTCAACCTTAAACCCTCCGAGCAGCATCCGGGATGACCCCCAACCTGGAGAGAAGCAAGGGTTCCCAGCCAACCTCTCCAGAGCCACGGGGGGCAGGGCTTGTAAAAAAGAAACCTCAACCTTAAACACCATGCACACATGTGTCAAGGGACCCAATGCTAGAACCCCCCAAAGAAGAAGTCGGGCCGGGGTGCGTGTGGCTCTGTTCTTTTGGAGTAACCCCCCTTTTGGTCTAGCGACACCTATCGGGTAAAGCAAACGGGGTATCTTTTAAGGGAAAACCCGCCCCTTCGCGAAGGGAAACCCAGAGGACACCGAGGCCTAAAGTCCAAACTCGTGGTCTCAAGGAATGTCGGAGCCTAACCGTAAGGTGTCCTGCCTTGAGTGTCGTTCATTTTTACCATGTGACGTTTTTCTCAGGGTTGAAGTCTGGCCGAGATTCCTCCGTTGATCATTGCAGCGGTTTGATTGGGCTCTCAACGCCGGCTCCTCCCAGTAAGCTTGGCAGCACAAAGAAGCAAACAAACAAACAGACAGACAGACAAACAGACAAACAAGCAAACAAACACTTAAACACACACATACACAAACAAACATACAAACACAAACAAACATACAATCACACACACAAACACACACACACAAACCAACAAACCAACCAACCAACAAACAAACAAACAAACAAACAAACAAACAAACAAACAAACAAGCAAGCAAGCAAGCAAGCAAGCAAGCAAGCAAGCAAGCAAGCAAACAATCAATCAATCAATCAAACAAACAAACAAACAAACAAACCACACACACACAAACAAACAAACAAACAAACAAACAAACAAACAAACAAACAAACAAACAAATAAACAAACAAACAAACACACAAACACACAAACAAACAAACAAACAAACAAACAAACAAACAAACAAACAAACAAACAAACACGCACCAACCCACAGACGCCCACACAAACACGCACCAACCCACAGACACCCACACAAACACAACCAACGACACACACACACACAAGCATTCCCCGTATTTGTTATTTTTCAATCAAGTGAACCTTTGTTTTGGATGGCTTTCGCGAACCAACTTTGAGAGGACCAAACAGGAAAACTGATGTAGGGGCTTCCCGATTTTGAGCACCCATTTTGAGACAGACCCTATTTTTCTCGCTCAGGTGGTTCTACTTCTGGCAGGCCTGCGGCCTGCGGAAGTCTTTTCCGAGGGATGTTAGTGCCCATGGGTGTTGTATGTGTTTTTGATGGAGGAAACATCATGTTTGCTTACTTTTTTTGGGGGGGGGATTGCTTTGTTTTAAGACTTTTATGTCAAAGACTAGTGCATATCGGTCTAGTTTCGCTATCGGGGTCGATTCAATCAACCCCAAAGAAAGCCGCGCTCATTTTCAGGTTCCCCTTGTGATAAAAACTCCTGTCTTGTGGTATGACAGTTTTGCCATTTGGAGAACCTGTCGGTGCATTGGCACTGAAGCTGTGGCAGCTGATACTGAGCCACAAGAGGTTGTGCCAGCAAAAAGAAGCACATCCTGCAATTAAGGATTCGTGGCACTTGTTGCAAGACCGCATTTCTCAGGGGCCTAAAAGGGAAATTGGTGGGTTGCAATCCTCCTTTTGGAAGACCAACCCAATACGAGCTGACTGACATCTGAACGATTGTGCTGAAAGGTCAGCCGTTCACCGTTGATGCTGAGTGTCGAATTGGCCGCTTCAGTGAAAGATCCCGCTTGGTTTTTCAGAGACCTTTCAAACACACTGCTCCTTTTGGTCGACTTTTGGGAGTTTCGGCCTTGTAGGCAACCCCCATTTTGAGAACCCCCCTGAGGCGGGCTTGTCTTTTCCAAGAGTTACGAAGAGAGCTTCACAGCCAGGGTGCAACCGAGCAGTCTGCGGACACGGAGAAGGCGCGCCAGAGCGCAGCACAGAGGCGGTGCTTTTGAAGGTACCCTTTAGGGGTTGAAGAAGAGGGAAACCAACAGGAAACCTACGTGCTGTTCAAAAGGAAAGCTTCTTGTTTTCACTGCGAAACTGTGTCAAGTCCGGGCTGAAAAACGTTTGTCTCCCCCTCATTATGCAGACTGGCTCCTGTGGTCAGGCAGGTGGGAATGACCATACCTAAATAGGTAACAAAGTTTGGACTTGTTGCCTTAGTTCTTCATCATGTTAGCAAAGACCTGAAAGGTGTTTGATTTGTCGGCTTGTGAACTGAGCATGTCAGCGATCCCTTTTGATGCTTCCTGCTTGGCAAGCAAGTCTTAAAAAATTGAGCATGCGCAGCTTGACTTCCTAGCTTGGCTGGCTTTGTTGCTATGCGGCACAAACTGACCTCCAATACTGCAGCTTATTTCACGCCAACAGATCATTCTGTATACTGTTGAGGTCCTGAGCTTCCTGGCGTTTTTGATGGTTTCACAGAATCTCACCAGGAGCTTGTCCTGGTTTGGATTCCTTGATCGCTTGCTTCGTGGTTTTTGTTTTGCGTTCGGGTCCCCGGATCCTGGGTGGCAGGGTGGCTTTGGCGTCTCTTGCAAAGACCACAAAAAAACAGGGGTACCCCCCAATCAGGTACAGACGTGCTGGGGAAACCGGCTCAAAATTGGCGTTGTCTCATAGGGGAACCCTGAAATGAGCTGTTCCCCTTGAATTCCCTGGCTGCCTTGGATTTGTTCTACAGTTGGGTGAGCATAGATGGCGCCATCCCCCCAAATTTTGGGTTTTGTCATCCCCCTACCCACAAAGAAGTTGTACCATCTAATGTCCTAGCTGGGGTACTGCATGTGAACCTGCAGGGGTGAAAACTAATACGAGTTTACCCCTGCTTCCATTTGCTTAGGCATTTTTGTTTTAAACAAAATGCCTCTTGGATGGAGATGGAAACTAGAAGTATCTTTGCTGGACATATATTTTCCAGTGGACTTCAGTTTTGCTGCACCCCACTCTGCCAGGTGCTGGGGCGGATGACGAGGGGCACGCTGGCGCTGGGCGCCGCGGGAATGCCCTCCATCAGCAGCAACGACTTGGCGAAGCTGTCGGGGCCCCACGGCCGTTGCGGCCAAACGAGTGGGGGGGTTCTCCTCCCAGTTGATTTGTTGACTTGATGTGAAGGGCGACCCACAGAAGCTTCCTTGCAAATGATGTCGATATTTTGAGGTTGACTTGAGCTGGTGGCGCGGTCTGGGGTGTTCTCCCCCAGACACCCAGTGGGTTGCTTACACAAATGATGCTTCATGTTTTTGTTGGAGGGAGCAATTGCCGCAGACAAGAACCCCGTGGCCGGTCTGGGCTTGCCTGCGTCAGACTCGAGAGAGGGGGTCCCGAAGAGAGCTATCCATATTTCCATTGGTGGTTTTTAGCATCACCTTTGTCTAGAGTCTCCAAAGCTATTTGCAATGGTAGTCCTCATAGGTTGCCTACGCCCCAACCTAAACCCACCCGAAACCCGAAGCCTAAACGCCAGACCCAAACCATAAACCCCAAACCTGAAACTTCAACCTTGCGCATTTACCACGTCGGATTCGCTCTGAACTAGGGGGGGGGTGTAGGGCTGACTATGGAGCAGAGTCAGAAAATGCTAAGAATAGATTTGGGCCCATCAGTGCGGTCACTTTTTGGTAGGGTGATGTTCGGGATGTATGTTCCAGGCCGTGGACCCCCACGCCCACGGGTGGGGTGGGGGGGAGGGGGTTGGATGGGTGGTTGGGGTGTGGTTTAGGGTGGGTGTAGGGTGGGTTTAGGGCTGATTTCGGGTTGGCTTAGAGTTGGTTTAGGGTTTGGTGGGTGGTTGGTTTAGGGTTGTTGAAAGGTGGGTTTAGGGTGCGTATAGGGTTGGTTTAAGGTTGGCTTAGGGTTGGTTTAGGGCTGGCTTAAGTGGTTTAGGGCTGATTTAGGGTCGGCTTATTGTTGGTTTAGGGTTGGTTTGGGGTTGGTATGGGGGTTGGTTTGGTGTGGGTGAAGGGTGGGTGGGTTTAGGGTTGATTTAGGGTTGAGGGTTAGGGGTGTAGGATTGGCCTAGGGTTGGGGTTTAAGGTTGGTTATGGGTTGAGTTGTCCTACATGTCGGAATGCAAGGGTGTGGGTTCAGGGGCTGGAGGAGGGGGTTTGGGGTCCGTAGCAGCGCGGTGTGGGGATCCGTGGGCTAGGTGGGCCGGGGTGGGGGGGGGGTGACAGGGAACAATGCGTACAATGTGAACCGGCTCTTTTTCATTTTTTCCGCACTTGCTATTTGCTCTGCACGAAACAATGGATAGCAGCGTCACACAGACTTGTACGGTCAAGTCAATGCGGAGACTGATTCCAATTCAACATGTTTACCTATCGCAGCGTGTCTAAGATGTGTTTCTCATCTCTTGGAATTGTTATTGACGCCACGGAAATCAGAAGTCATCTATTTGGAGCAAGGCAAAGACATGACAGCAATCAACAGGTGGTAAAGAAAGTACCAATGGAAAGACTGTAGACTGTAGACCCTACCAATTTCTGAGGTTAAAGTAATAAATTATAGTTGGGTCTGGAGAGTTTATGAACAGGACATGCCTAACGATAAGATCTCACGGAAGGACGAGCTGAGGGGCGAATCTCTCCATTTCTTATTGCGTTTCTCCCTTTCTCTTTTCCCTTTATCACCCCAACTCTTGTCCTGGGAAACAGAGGTTGGGTGATGGGAGGTAGATAGAGGAGAGAAGGGGAGAGAGGAAGGCTCACTTATTGGCCATCACACGTTGTCCCCCCCATCCCCTCATCATCCCCTCATCATCCCCTCATCATCCCCTCATCATCCCCTCATCATCCCCTCATCATCCCCTCATCCCCCTCTCTCTCTCTCAGTTTCTTTTTTGCTTTTGCTTGCGCATGTTTGTGTCCGCGTTTGTGTCTGTGCTTGTGTGTATGTCAGTCATTGAGAGTCATGGGTGAGCTCGCTTTGAAGTAAGACAAGCTCACCAATGCTTACCGAAGATACTTTCGGCTCAAATTTGTTGGCTGAGAATTTCAAGTTTGCGCAATGCTTTCTCGCCTGGCTGTGGTGTTGGCAGTTGCCAGCCCCCTACTTTCTCGTGCTGCCCGAGTGGCTGCTGATAAGCATGACGACAAGAAGGTTGAGGAGGACCCGGGATTCATAAAAACTTTGTGACTGAGTACGGGGGTGTTCCCCGAAAAGTAAGGTGTCCCTCGGAAAATGCGGCGTTTCCCCACCTGGCGTCAGAAGCCAAGCTCTTGCACCGCTTTGTCTCAAACTCCAAAACACTAGCTTGCCGTACAAACACAGTACCCAGCAGATACGTCCAGATGCGCACAGGCAATCGATTTCTTGTTGGAAGCAATGCAAGCGGCACATCCCTGGCAACTTGCCAGCGGCATCTCCTCGAAACCCTGAGTACATAAAATGCTTCCAGTAGAGGTTCAGCAACAGCGATTCAACCGACCTGTTGAAGGACACGGGCATATACTTGAAAGACTGACACGCTCGCGCCCAAAACAAGGCAGTAGTTGTCACGTGCGGGTTCTATTCTTAGAGTTGTTTCCAGTTGCGGTTCGCTTTGGTTGCGACACACGTATGTGTGGAAACGCGCGGTGCCCTAGCGAGATGATGATGGTCGCATAATTCCGTTACGGAAGCGCTTGGTTTAAGCAAGACGTCTCAGGGGGTTTGCTTTTTTTACCCAACAGCTGGAAGCTTTGGGGTCTCAGCCCAGATAGGCTCCGGGGTGTCCACCAGGGTTCCACCAGGGTTCCACCAGGGTTCCACGAGGTTCTGCGAGGGCTACGGGGTGGTGCGAGCACTATTCCTGTTGGGGATATCACCTGAGCTTATTGTTTAAAGAAATCATTCGGAGATTGAGCTGTCCTTTTCAAAGCTGTAGCATCGGAACGCAGGATCCCTTCGGCGACATGCTGCCGCCCATGGGTGGAAACCCAGTGGTTTGGTCGGCCCGGAGCCACAGAGATCCACTGGCTTGGAGCCTTAGAGATCCCAGCAAGCGAACTTGTCCAAGATGTCAGGGATCCCTCAGTTGCTTGGATTGGCTTCGGGGTTGAACCCCTCGTAAAGGGTAGTCGGAAACTTCCCTAACAAGGCAAGTTCCACCCCCAGAAGAAAACGGGGTAACTGTTCAATTCTTTCTATGGCGCCTGCATAGCAGCATATTGCCTGAAATCCCTGTGGGTGGCTTGGGGGGTAAATTGTAGACTGAATTGAGAGCGATTCGCTGGCGTAGAATCGGATTCCTTGGAGCGAATCGGATTCCATAGCGCATGAGCTTCGCTCAGAATTTGCAGATCAAGTAGCGGTGAACTCGGAGATGAGTGCTGAAGTTACAACAGCAAAACCCGGGGCGGCGAATACGCGCTCGAAGAGTGTGTGTGTGTGCGCGTGTGTGCATGCTTGGAAAGACCTTTATCACGCTTCCAGCAAACAAATGGAAGGGAAACGGGCTTCGGTTTCCTTTGGCCTTGCTGAGCAAATCCCAAAAGGGGACCCTCAAATGGCTTCGCTGCGGCACCACTTGACAATCCAGCAACGCGCTGAATCCATCCCTCTGGCCACGACAAAATCACGCTGCATGTAGTCGAAACACCAGGTCACTTGGGTTTGTCTCCAAACAGGGTGACCCCGAACACCGTGTTTTTGTGTTTGGTTTCCCTTTGACACACACACACACACACGCTTGGGCTTGGGATGGTCGACGGCACAAAAGTTGGCCTTTCGGATTTCAGGCCTCCCACGGCCCGCCGGCAACAGTCAGCGGTGTGGCAGAGACCCCTGCAGTGGTCATGGAGGAGGGCTGTGCTTCCTGCCCTTCCAAGTCTCCGTTCTGCTTTTAGGTTGTGACCACATCCGAGATCATGTTCGGAGGGTTGGGCCAAGTTCTGGAAGAAGCTCTTGGAAAAGGGGCCGGTTGCAGGTTTTCTGTCTCCCAAGGATGCCCATGCAGAGCCTGTTGTGTTTGGGTTCCACTACTTCCAAATAACCAAACCATCGCCTCAACGGATTGGGTAAGGCACCACTCTGTCATGTAGCCTCTAATGATCTGAAATCAACCTATTGACGTACCGAAAGGTTGACCTTTTGCATTTGGGGTGTCTGGGCAAGTGAGTTGTGTTTTTGAGGTGCCCCCTCTTCGTTTGGCCGATGCGCCCATAGGAGGAGCGGATCTTGGCGTCGGAGTCGCTGGTGGATGAGCAGGTGGAGCTGAACCAGGAGGAGCGAATGGAGGCGCGAAGTGGGTTGCTCACTCACTTGGTCGCCATACCAAAACCATGACAAAACCTGGTGACACACACCCACACACCCACACTTTATGCCAAACCTACAGTCTTGCGAAAAGAGGGCCACAGAGGTCACGAAGCATATTGTCAGTCAACCAGAGCGAAACACGGCATGCAAGCGCGAGAAGTGTGCATCGTTGCGGCCGCGGCTATTTTGGGATGTTATGGAAGGTAACTGTCCTTCTAGACTGCTAAAACATTGGGCATTAGAGCCTGGTTGGTCACAGTTGGCAATATGCTTGCACAGGCGCAATGCCGGTGAACCATGCCACGTCAATGTGCTTTGCTGAACATGTTACCACCCGTTCCAAACACATTAATTGAGTATGCGTCCTACTAGGGGGATCGCAAATGATGATGTTCCCTTTGGTTTCCTGTTAAACCAAAACGAAAAAGGGTACGGTCAACACCACACCAATTTCTGTGTTTTCAGCGATCAGGTGGAATGTGTTGGCATGGAGCACTTGCGAGAAGTTACCGACTACCAGAGAGAGCAGACGGAGGCCGAGACAGAGACCCTGAACTGCAGCTGGAAGATTTGTTTGAAGTGCATACCCCTTGCGCATGTTTTTGGCTATGGCGAGTTCGATAAAGCGAGCTTGTGATGCAAGAGTCCGTCTACTTGCGGATCCCATATTTCAGATTTGTTTATAGACTTTGCAAATACTTGGTTTCGGGTGGGCAAGTCACTTTATCATGGGTGCCCAAACGATGGGAGAGGAGTGTATCGCCAAAAGCCAACTGGTTTGCCCAAAAGATGTGTAAAAGGTGTATGTACAAAAGCCCCCAGAATCTTAAATCAACAGGGGGATTCTTCCATTAATCTTTCTGCTATGAAAGACTTTCTCACTGGCACAAAGTCATCGGGTTCTTTACTAGTAGCCTTTTTGTAGGGTACTCCATGTGGTTTTAAAGAAAGCCCAAAGGAGCACCACCCGGGGTCCGGACTCCAAAGGACACACCCCTTGCAACCTACGGAACTTTGTGCAGATTTTGTTTGGGCCAACCCTTGGACTTGAGTCACTGAAACCTGAGGTAACGTTTTTTTTGTTTTTTATATGTAGACAGAGTATAAATCAGAATCGCAAACTGCATATATTATTCTCTGCCTCTATATAATTCAAGTATAAATCAGAATCGGGCTAGCTTTCATTCTCCCGCCTCTCAAGTCTCTATGCATGTTTTGTGTGGGGTTCCTGTGGAGATCAAACTACAACTCTGTGTAACTTTTTTGGTGCCCGGGCGGCGGGGTTCTCCGGGTGCTTTGCTTCCTAACCTGGCAAGCCCCGGGCGGCTTTTTGGGAATCTGCATCGCTCAAATAGGCAGGATTTGGGATATTGTTTGGTGAAAAGCAGCAAAATGAACATCCAAATGGGGAGTGTCCTGTTTCGGTGTGTTTTTGTTTGCGCCCTCCAGTGCGAATTGGGATCGAATCTGGGATCCGAGGATGAGGAACATCCGCGCCTTCACACCCACAGAGGCGGAGCACAAGTGCATGCCGCTGCACCTTCGCAACAAGAAGCTGCCAGGTGAGCGAGCGCCGCAGTGGCTGTCAGGGTCCCATGAAGCCATGAAGCGGGGGTGTCTCGGAAAGAGATCAACACGTTTCGGGATGTGCGTCCCACTCCCCATTTCACCAAGGGGCACCACTGGCCAGAGAGCCAAAATGGCATTGAAGGTGCGCACCATGAGGGCCTGAATCTTGAGAATGAGGGAGGGGGGTGCAAGGCATTTCAAGACCAAAGCAATGATAGAAGAACTAGCTTCCGTTTGATTCCCTCACTTCCGCAGTGTGTTTGTTTGTGGACTTGATATTGTTTGAGTTTGAACCATTTTAAGGGTTGGAGTTCACCAAAGTGGTCCAATAATCAAAACCAAAACCATTTCGTGGGAACATGTGCAGGTTGGCGTTGCTTTTTCGTGGTTTTGGACGACCCCGAATTTAGTTGCCTTGGCCAATCCACTCGGAAGTTGCAGAGATAGCTTTCGTTTGTGTTTGGTCCAACATTTGCCAGGCCGACTCTTTTCGGACCGCGTCCGCTATGCAAACTGCCCGCCATTCCCCGAGTGCCTTGGACGCATCGGTGTCAAAAAGGATTTGGACGTCAATTCAGCCCTGCTGTCAGTCAGTGGTTGCAACTGTTTGAACAGAACAATAAGGTTATGTTTCTTTTGCTTAATGGCGCTAGATTGCATGATGCAGGGCCTCGACTAGCGGATCCAATTCTTACTGGATGTGTTCAACCAATTAGGAGCCTTTGTTGGAGGGCGGAAACAATGCTGAGCTATGTTGAACCTGTTGAAAGGAGCATGTGCCTGTTCACGGGTTTAAGCACACCAAACGTGGGAAAATGGGAAGGGCTGTACGTGGGCTTATTGGGGGCAAATGGGGCAACACCAAGTATGCTGATAGAAATCTAGTGTGCAAATGTCAGACTCCTGTTTGCCAACCCACTGAGGAAGTGAGAACATGTCTTGCTGATTTGGCATTTGTTTTTTGTTGAGGTGTGGGACTGAGGCGCACCTGACACACTGCTTTCTACTACTGGGACCTCCTCCAAAACTGTTTTATATGTCTGGTCGATTAAAGATACGAAGCAACAAGTGAAGACGTGATTTGCTGTGTGCCCAGATTTGCGGCAAACAAATGTTTGTCTCCCACCTGGCAAGAAAGAAGAGGAGCCCTGAAATGGTCGAACCATGTCAAACCTTGACTGAACCAGCCGTTAGGCTCTTGCAGCCGGTTGTTTGCTTGAGAATGCAGTCCTTGTGCTTGGGGTTCATTTCAACCAAGGAGCTGTTCTCAGATTTAACGTCGTGTGTGTGTGTGTCTCGGTCTGTGCGTGTGTGTGTGTGTGTGGGTGTGGGAGGGGGGGGGGACTTGCTGATCAAGCACAACACACGTCGAAAAGAGTGTTGCTTTTGGCGACACTGTTATGCCCAGGCCCAGATGCACGCGAACCCAAAAATGCGACTTACGCTTTTGGGTTTACTTTAAACCAACCTCGAGGCAACATTGTACGAGTCAGCATTGCCACAGGGCTGATGTCCAGTACAGCCTGCCACTTCTGCACGGGATTTGTTGAACACAGGCGGCTTGGAGAGATCGTGGTTGAGGCAGTGCACCACACAGAGAACGCTGGCAAGCAACAGCATGTGGCGCCTGGGCATATCCGGCCCCGAGGTTGGACTCAAAGCTATTTGGGGCAATGCCGGGCATGGAAAGGCCTTGGTGGACAATCAAAGCCGCAACACCTATATAATATTAGGGGGGAGCGCGGTGCGCTTAGCCGTTTCGTATGAATGTCAAAGCATGGTAGTCTTAGGTGATAGGCCTTCATAGCAATCTTGCGGAATCTTCCTTTGTTCCTTCAATACGGAGTCATATTAGGTACCCTTCAACATTTGCCTTCTGGTACTCCTAAATGAACATGGAGTCCAACTAACAGTTTCCTCCGGATGGCTTTCTGGGTTCCAGGGGACTTGTAGGCCCCCATAAAGGATCAAAGGCTTCTTTGAAAGAGCCTCAAAAGCTGACGAATCCTTTGATTAGCATGTAGCTCATGTAACAAAATCCCGGAGTATTTGTGAGGCTGTGTTAGGTTTTGAAAAGAGGTGTTGTTCATATTTGTCAAATTGTGAGGTTCTTGAGCTGGTTGGCTGCACCAGTTGCGAGAACGACCAGACCGGCGATGTGGTACCTTGGCTTCCTGCGAGGTGTCCAGTTCTGCCGCACTGTCCCCTTGCGCGTCCCGCGTGTTTGATGGCTTCCCTAGACAAAAGAGCAACATGGAGTTAATCCCAAGAAGGGGTGTGTCTGTGTGTGTGTGTTTTGGTCAGTGTGTCCTTTATGGGGTTGGTTTAAGAGGACGCCAAAAGGAAAACCACAGTTTTGGGCTACAGCTATTGACACGTACGGGTCACTAAGCTAATGGAAAGTGGTCATGAGAGAAAAAGACCAACGAGACAACAAAATGATCGCAAGGATTTAGGGGCAAGCCCTACATCAACGTGTTGGTATCGACACGGGCCACTTGATATTTGAGCGAGGGTACTCTCTCTTGGAGTGCGATTTTAAACGTATCCTCTCTTAGGTTTGTTTAAGGGACACCAAAAGGACAACCACAATTTGTGGAAACACCCGCCCCCAGTTTGACGCAAACACTCACACCCGTTGAGTTGCGTCCCCCGTTGCTGCAGGAACCGGATGCGCCAAGAAGCTTTCGGAAGTGCCAGTTGGGTTTGTTTGTTGGGTATTTTCGAGTAAAGATACGGAGTCCTTGGAGTCCGACATTGCGAGCCGTGCAGGTGACTGGCTTTGTGCAGCTTCTTGCAGTCGAGCCAAACATAGACATTTGCTTCATAAGAGGCATATAAGTTTCATATACGTGGCGCACAAGTGGCATATACGTGGCATATACGTGGCATATACGTGGCATATACGTGGCATATAAGTGGCATAATGAAGCCGACCCATAAGCGGCATGTATTTCCACAAAAGACAGAAAGACATTTGCCCAGTTCGATTTGGACTGGCCAGCATGGCTAGCTTCTTTGGGTCTTGGAACGCTGCTTGGCGTCCCGTTTTTTTTTCGACCCCCAGCCTGTTTTCGGGTCCACAATGAGTACACTAATTGGGTTTGGAAAAGCCAGGAGTGGGGCGGACTATTGGGCATCGATGAGACGGGCAACTACCGCGATATGTACCGAAGAAGCCGCGAGCCTTGGGCAGAGACTTGCCGTTTTGCCTTGGACACTATATACCCTGAAAGGACAACTCCAAAAATTGTTTAATGACTTCCTCCTTTCGGTCACTGCGCAAGCAGGGGACTGAGATCCCTAACTAATTTAGAATGTATGGAAGGGGGGCCGTTCCCCGGAATGGCTATGTTTGACCGATCACAGAAAGGGAGACCATGCTTTCGGGTTCTTGCTTGTGAAACTCTGTTGGTGTGTGGCACACCAACTAAGTAAGTCCACAAGACCCCAAAATTTGACCAAACCTCCGACGACTTGAAGTTCCCCTGCAGCGAAGGGTATCTAAATCTGCATGGGACTGCCCAGGTTTCCTGTTGAACCCGCAGTTGTTCTTGAGTGCCATCCAGTAGCCGGACATCAAATTTACATTGCAGATTCATCAAACAAAACAGCCATGAGGCGTTCCAATGGAAATGCATAGCCATGTGAGCTTCAAGGATCAGAACTTTTACGGTAAGAAGCTTTCCTGGGAGGGCCTGAAGGGTTTTCCCCGCGCAAGCGCCGCTTGGCCGAGTCCATTACTGACAACTTCGGAAGCGCTCATGCGGGCAGCTTTGCTGCAAGAGTGGGTGGAGGGGTCTGAATCCGTCGTTGACTGGAGACAGTCAAAACTCCTTTTGTCTCCTTTTGTGTTTGCTTCCAGTCCAGCTCGGCCATGGCGCAACTGGCTGGGAAAACCCTAGCTGTACAGCTATGTCATGAACCTATGATGTCCATGACCCGGGCACTTCAGTGCCGACTCAGCGCACTCGACGCCACCTCCAGTGTCAACAGCTCCTTGTGGCCCCGCCGGGGGTGACCTGCGGCAACGCCCTGCGGAGCCACTCCTCCACCCTCGTCCATTTGCCCTCCGCCATCTTCCAAGACACACATGGCACGTGCGCCGGAATGGCCGTGCTGCACGGCCTGGTGGGAGTCTTGCCAGCAACTCTTCATCCACTCAGTCATTCTGGACACGATCTGAGCGCCCCATTCGCAACCAACCCCATTCGCTCCGTGCGTTTTGCAACCGGATCCGGGATCCTTGCATTGGCCTCTAAAGCACCTTCCCCTTCCGGCACTTGGTGAAGGCTCGACCCTGCCACCGACGCTCTGCCTATATTCAAGTCAGCATCTGCACCTGAAGTTTACGCGCCCGCATTAGCTGGTCAGTATACCCTCTCATGGAGCCGGAGAAAACTGCCATCACGATCCAAGTTTGCATCGCTCCCTCCATAGACGGAGAGGCATGTGCGGTGACCTTAAGAGGTGTGACCACAGACACTGCATCCAGTTCACTCTGCACCTCCCACAAGTCATCCGGGGCATTAGGACACCTGAAATCTCCGGCAACCCTCTGCATGACTCTATGAGACTCTAGACGGAGATTGTCAGTCCAAATGCGGACAGGAACTGTGAGCTGCTGAGCATAGGTGCAGCAATGGCCGCTAAGATTTCGGCTCTGCCAACCGTCTGGATGATGCCTGAAACCTGGCCCTTCGCAAACACCACCGCCTCCGCACCCACCTTTGCTGCAACAACAGTCGTAGCCCAAGCGGCCAGCCTCACCATGGGATCACCCGGGCTACTTGCCGACCCATCAGTGAACACATCCACGCATCCCCCTTCAAGCACGAAATTGGACACTCCCGGGATGTGTCACGGATCTGCTCTAGCTGCCTGAGCATGCCTGCGGATCTGTGGCTTGCCTGACACTCGCAAACTGTTCTCAAGAAGTCTGTGCTCAACCCCATCCATTGCCGTAAGGAGAAAAGCTCCGCCTCAGCCTGACCCACAAGTCCTGCAAAAGAGCAAACCTCTGCTTCTGCTTGGAATTGGTTGCCTCCAACATGTACGGCATGTGGGCACCCAAATCCCGCTCACCATGACTGACCGGATGGCCATGCTCCCTGAGTATTTTCCGACTTTGTGAGTCAGTGGACCACGTAAAGGACTTAGCTTGGTCTAGCTGCACATCGAAGGCATCAACAAAGTGAACTGTCCCTGCATATTACCAAGTCAAGATCCTCCACACTGGTAGCAGTTGCCTCCCAGTTATCCACATAAGTCAAAATGGTCGCCCTTGGAACCTAGGTTTGCAGCGTCAAGGTGAGTACATGGTCCATGATTGCCATTGCGGTTACTGAGAGTGCATCCCCTTCTGGAAAACTTGTGCAAGACAGCACTGGCTGGCCCGTAGAGCCCCTCAAAAGGAACCTTCTCCGCATCGATGCCAAGGCCCCTAACCAGGCACGTAGTGTACCTTCATTCACTCCAAGTCGAGCAGCTGCACGAGGCAACGTATTAAATGCTTTGACTATGTCAAGGGAGCATTATCCGCCTGCGCTGGCTGGATCTCTTGTCGGATCCGGTAGTACATCTGCGTGGAACTTTTCTTTGGCAACCCACCGTACGAGTTTGTACTAGCAACCTGATCAAGGAGGTGGATAATTTCTCTCGCCCTCAACGAACCCCACGTGCGATAGATTATAGGCCTATACTGACCCACCTGACCTGCATCCGGGTACTTTGCCAAACTGGCCACAATGCCTTCCATGACCTGTATTGGCCAACGACCTAATGCTTCTGCCTGGGCAGATCGCAATCAACCGCTTAGTGAGCCCTTCAGTCAAGTTGAGCAAGTCCGTGCGACTGCCATCCGGGCCGGTGGCTGCTTCCTTCTTTTTATGCACCGCTGCCTTCCATCTGGCCACTGTGATCTCCGTGCTTGGCTCGGCTGCGAAATGCTGTCAAGGCTGTTTGCCGTGTCCCTCCGAGACTGATCCACACCTGCATGACGCTCCCACCTTTTCCGCCATTCACTGTAGGCCAAAAACATGTCCTCAAGTGTTCCAGTCGGCATCTGACGGATGTGCTGGCCGGCCTCAAGATTTGCTGTGTCCTCAACCCAGACTGCTTCTCCTTCAGAGTGAATGAGTGGGACATGTTTCCCATCTCACGTCGCCGGTGACTCAAGTCGAATGAACAGAGTCAACGGCGTGATCCAAGTCCACTTGGCCTGTCTCACAGGCTACATGGACTACCTTGGCAGCTTTTTCCCGAATGAGAATGTCAGACGAACCTCTCGAATGTCACTGAACACTTGCATAGGCCGAGATTGCCGGACCCTTTTGCTGTTTTCTGCCTAAGCTGACTCAAGCGTGACTCAAACGCTCGAAGCTCCTGCCGAAAGGCCAAATGAGAGTCGTCCGAAAGGTCCTTGTATTGAGCTATGAAGGGGAAGACCTTTTGGTCCTAGCGTTGACCTTCGCGAAAGTTCCGCGAAGGGGGTCGCGAAAGTTATTTTGTTTTTCCGCGAAAGTTTTGTGTGGCTTGCTAACAGGAAGCTGGAGTGATGAACCATGTGTATTTACCGGCATTGCGCGCAGAATGCCCGCAGACTAAAGTTGGTCGGAGAATGCGCAGCCTGAGGGTCGCCGCAAGAATACTCCGCTGCAACAGCAACCCCCAGCCAGCAGAAACCAGCTTCTGGGAGTTTTGAAGCTGTCGGGGCAAGCTGAGCGCAACTTCCAGCCGGATTTTTTGGCATAAGACCCGCGAAAGTTTCGCGAAAGTCGACGGACCTCCCCGCCAGCTTCCGGACATGAGGCCTACGGGTCCTCTCATGCGTAGCTCACGGCTTGTGAGCTGGAGCTTCGGAAGCGCGCTTCGCGTGCTACTTTGGAGCTGAAAGGTGGCGACTTTCGAGCTGGGGCTGCGGAAGTTCACTTTGTGTACTACGTTCGTATTGAAAAGTTCTGACTGTCGAGGCTGAGGAAGTTTAGCTCCTTTAGTACTACTTTCGTATTCAAGCCGGGCTGCGGAAGTTTACTTTTAGTACTACTTTCGCACTGAAGAGCCACGACTTTCGAGCTGGGACTGCGAAAGTGTACTTCGTGTACTACTTTTGTGATGAATGTTCTGAAAACAGCCCCGCGAAAGTTCCGCGATGGGGTCCGCGAAAGTTATTCTTTGCTCGCGAAGATGGCGGGGAACAAGGAATTTCAGACAACCTGGCATATGCTATCGATGGCCCAAAGTACCTTGGCTCACTTCCTCCATGCCTGGAGCGTGCTGGAGGGGCTACCTTGGCTATTCGTTTCTGAGACATCTGCACAACCCCACGTCCAAGTAGAGTGCGTCCCTGGGGACACCGACCTTCACCACCTAGTTGGCTCAGTTCGGCTTCATAGGCAGCCCATATGGCATGATACTGCTGTTCCGGCGTCTGCTGCATAAACGCCCGATCAGCACTCCACTCATCAAGGTTAGACGGGTCCTGCACCACCACGGGAGTCATCCCAGCAGGTACGTTCAACGGCATATGCTTACGCCCCGCATACTCACAAATATCAAACCTTGCTGCAACTGCAGAATGATCAGCGAAGATGGAACGCCACTTTGCACTGAGAAAAGAAGCTCAGGCGATACATAGACAAAATCTTTACGAGTGATAGCTTTACACGTCTCCTGAGGCTCAATGCCATGCCTTGTCTGAGCGATATCTTGGCTCCATCCCATTGCCTCCCAATGCTTCAGAATTGCCAGCCGTTCCTGAGTAGAATTGAAGTCAACAACAACAAATCCGGGCCCAGCTGTCTCCCGCATTCTCTGTTCTACTGCCTGGAGAAGTTCGGTTGTGCGCTCGGCTAAATTCACGTGCATGCCACTCTCAGGATATCCGTACACAACCGCACCTTGGATCTACACAGACCCCACCAAGATGCCACCTGCAATGATGCGTGCGCTCTGCTTGAGACAACTGTCGCACAGGGTGCCGGGCACCCTTGTACACAATACTGAAATGGGGACTTAGCATTCAGAGCTGTAAGATGGGTTTCAGCGATTCCCCACACACTTGGTGGGCCATCGCATAGCTCTTGTATGATCTCTTTGCCTGCCAATCCGGTCGGATTGGCCGTTCCCAACCAAAAGGACTCCGGCCCGGACTGCTTGCCTCCCCTGCAATTGGCTGCCAACAGTATCAAAGCAGCAGCCACTACACAGTGCTTACCTCTAGGGAACGTTCCGGGGCAGTGCCCTTCTGCTTCATTCATGCCTCGGGCGCTTCGCCAGCAGCTCACATCTGCTGGTCAAACATGCCCTGCATCGACTGTTGCTGCTGGTCGACTACCGCCTGCAATCTCTGCACACTTGCCTGCTGGCGAGGTGTTGTTCTCTTGGGCCCACGCTTCAAGATTGATCTGCTTCTGCGCAAGCTGGCCGAATTTTTGTTCAAGCCGACCAAACCTCTCCGCATCCCCCACCACGGGCATCAACTCATCATCATCTGATGGCTTGATTTGACTCTCAATCTTGGCAATGAGCCACTGCTCAATTTTATCAAGGGCATCACCCTGCCCAAGGGATGATCACCTCACCTTTCTTAGTGTGCACGATCTGCTCAGGCGGCGGCTGGCAATCAATCACCTCCCACACAATCCCTTCCCCATCACTGGCCGATGTGACAGGCTGCAACGGCTGGACAGTCCACTCAATGGTGCGCAACAGCTTGACAACTCCCTGCCTCTGAGTGTTAAATGGCAGTGGGCTCACCAGGTACGCACTA